GAAAGTGTGGAGGTACGTGTCCAACCAATCTTAGGACTAACGACCTTATGATGATGATGACTTGTTTAAGATATTTTACCTATCCATCTACCAGAAGAAAATTTGACAAATAAAAGCATGTGCTTTTACAGCATATGTGATTCTTTTTTAATAAAATAAAATAAAATAAAAAGAAGACAGTTTTAAATTTAAATTCGTTTCTACAGTTGTTTCGGGTGGTTATCTCACCCTCAGTTGTTAAGTCCTACTTAATTAATCTTCGCTTGGCGTGTAAAAGACTTCAACTTAAGACATTGCAGCTTGTATGCAGGTGCTCTAAGACGGTTTCATATCTTGAATTTTTACGGTCCCAGAGACTCACCGAGGGTCCAAAATAAAAAAAGAAAAAGTGTCAGGTTTCTACCTTAAAACATATTAACTCATTCTATACGACTATTTACAATTTAACTATCAATAAATTCGTCAATATCATCAATACATATTTCTTGAAAATTATACGCTCTAAGTTCTTGAGGAGTATTTTTCAACTTCAAAACCTCTGAAGTGTAAAAAAATTAACTTGAATTATTCTTCCGTGAAAGTTAGGATTTCAAACGAACTCACTAAAAAGCATTGAACATCAATATCGAATAAAGGGTCTAAGATGATCCGATAAAGGAAGAAGAAGGTAAAAGCACTTATAGAACTTTTTTGATTCGTTTTCAATACGATCCGGAAGTTGTTCGTTAGCTAACTCAACTCGCCATTAATGGAAAATGTAGAAGATATTCTGCTTGCTCTTGAAAACGATAAAATGTATATATACTGAAATAAGAACCATAGAAATAATTTTTATTTTTAACTCTGTACGATATACTCGAATATACTTTTGTATCATTTCGTATGAAAGAGATACACCTATCCAGGTATTAGGTACTCTACATAAATAGAGGAAAAGTTATTCACATTTTGATTCTTTACAATTTTTTAACGTCTCCGTAAATTAATCATTAATCTAGTGCATAAATAAGTCTTTATAACAGCATAACTTCAAAATTTCTCTCGTATTTATTAATTAAAGTTCTTTTCATTTAAATCTGAATATCCGTAGAATTCCATACAATAATGTACACTTATAATGAAAGTGTGGGTTCATTAAAAATATTTGTAGAAAAATTTCACTCTTAACGCGCCAAAAGAAGTACAACTTTAATAAAAATTAAATTATATCATAATAAATACCACAGCTTTAGCCTTTAATACTTTATTCTATGTAATAGTAAGTCGCGTTGTCTTGTTTATCGTCAGTGAATCGTTCAATTTTTTTTCCATACACGTGTCTAAGTGTAGGCACCTCCGATCTGCAGGAAGGGTGCAAAATAGCACTTGAAGGTGAAGTGCATCACTGACAGTCCCTTCGAATTGTCTAGACCTCTAGACAATGACATATGGTCTCAATAATAAGTAGAACTGAAATAGAAAAGGTCTCTAAGAATAACGAAAACGGTTTTATGTGCGAAAACGTTTGAGGTTAGAAGCTGGGCTTTTACTGCAGGATTTTGGATTTTACCAAAGATCATTTGGAATATAAACCTGTAAGAAACCGTTTGAGAAGAGTTCCTATTTCCAAAGGTTATCGAATAATTTTTCGTTTTATTTCAACTGAACACTAACAATTTTTATTAGTTTCCTCCGAATTATCTCCCCATTTTAATCATTTCGGGGACATGGTTGTCATTCACCTTCTGTTCCAGACAGTAATTTTTTCAATTAAATTCAGCTCATGTTGAGTTGTCACCTGTTGTGACGGCAATTTAATGTTGAGCATTAGTGGATAAAATACGTTAACAAGTGTTTGTGTGTTAGAAGTGCTTAAATATACTACAAATACATGGATTGTTTCCTATACGAAGCTGTTTATGATAATTCGTAGCTGTTGGTAGTGTAAAAACAGATGGGCAAATACGAAATCGTTTTGCCTGATTCTTAAAAAAGTATATGTTCCATTTTTATCCACAGTCTTCGAAGATAAATTAGATATGAAGGAATAATTATATTTTTAAGTTAAAAATTAGCTGGTTTAAAATTAAAACTAATATATTTAGAAATGTGTCAACTACACCTACTCGATTACGATTTTAATTTCAACCTCCCAATTTTAGACTTTTTGTACCATGAAAGTAAAATACTGTATCAACGAATGCCGCAGGAAATCGATACCGGCGGCGATGTAGCCTAATAGGGCTGATAGCCGTGGGTTACAAATTATACAGAAAAGGTACGGGAAGTTTCCGAAAACAATCGGGAATACTCCACGACCATCATCTAACGGTAGGATACAAGAGAGTCGATATAAATAATTGGTGAATGAGAAGAAGAAGTAAATAGTGTACAAAATTGTAAAATATATGGACGTATTGATTACAACAATTTTAAACATTCTTCATACGGAATATAACCGGGTAGACAAGCAAATACACTGTACAGACTTATTTTATTGAAAAAGCAATGTTGTTATCGAAACTGCAATCATTAAAGAGCAAGTCCGTTGAACATGCTAAATTAAATTTGTTAATAGCGGCATTGAATGTGGTTTGACGAATGTCGGCGTGGTGGTTGCATTGGGGTCGTTCCTCACTTTTGATAATCGTAATTAGCGAACTCGTGCGACGTCCAATTATTCAAACAGACGGTTGGCTTTGGTGAGAAGTTAATCCGGATTTCGAGGCGAGACTTTTCAGTACTCGTCATGCAGCTTATTTCGAGTCGATATTGATAGATTTGTAAGCAACCGTTAAAACTAAAGTGAAAATATTCCTTGAAAGATAAGGTTATTTTATATATTACCTTCTTCTTAATACTACTTACCTGTTGATAAAAAAATAATTGCACAAAAACTTAGGAGAGAGTGTAATTGCTGGAAGTACCTACCTAGAAATTGGATAATAATTATGTACGACGCAAGTATAAGAATATTACAAAACA